ATGTCATTTTATATTGATTAATTAATTTAGCAATTAATTTTACTGAATATTTTCAATCTACTATAGCTTACTAACTTTTAAATAGTTTATTCACTTAGTTTTGCTATACACACGCATAAGTGTAGGCATATTAACTTTTTAAATATATATTTGTAATGTTATTCAATATATAGGTGTTACAACAATTAATCTTTTAATTACTTTAATTTTGAGGTAGACTAGAATTTTAAAAATAGTTTATATCAGATAAATAAATCTAACCTAAATTTTGGATCAAGGAAGCGTACCAAAGTCATCCTAATTAAACTCAGCATACTTTTATCATTATGTGTAAACAAAAACTAATATAATGATTGGAATTCAATCAATATAGAAATGAGCATGCTAATCATACGTTTATTGATAATGATTCAACAATTTATATTTTCTGACATAAAGAAATTAATATTTTGTTTCATGAATTGACACATGAACCACTTTGAGAAAATCCAATGTCTATGCTAACTTTAATCCTCCTCATTTAATTTATGTATGTACATAGACACATTTAGAAAGAAAGATTAATTTTACAATACATTATAAACTTTGTGTATTCATATATTACAATTAATTTTACAATACACGACTATATAAAAAGGGTTAAACATATTTTTTATTTTTGTAAAGTTATTGAAATTTACCAAATTTATATAAATTTAATTTTAGTCTTCATAAAATTATCAAAATTTATTTTTAGTCCCTTAACAAATTTGTAATCCTTGGCTTTTTTATTTAAATATTGTAAATTTAAAAACAAATTTTTAATTTATTAATTTTTTTAAAAATTATCTGTCTAAAGTAAGTCAATCCAAATGACAATAATTTTATCAAAATGGCCGGCCAAAATGTTGATTTTTTATTTATTTTAAAATAAATTTCACCATCAAAATCATGAAATAACTAGATTGTAACACATGTTAGCATTAGTGTAATTTCGCAATATGATTAATAAAATTAAGAGATAATTTTGCAATGGAAAATGCTAACATGTCACCATATGAGTGAGTTTCACTGTGAAAATTATACTATTTGCAGGAATCTAACAGGTGACAAGTGTAGCACAATTTTTGCTCATTATGCAAATAATATAACAAAACTTTTACACTATATATCTCTATTCACCAGCTCACACTATATATCATAAATGAACTAAAATAACCTAATAACACTCTTAAACTTGTTCTTCTTGAATGAAAATGAGCGGGTGATGAGATATATAGTATAAAATTTTGTTATATTATTCACATAATGGGCCAAAATCGTGCTACATGTCAAATTCTTATAAGTTGTACAATTGTCATGACAAAACTCATTTAAATAGCGGCATATGTCACAATTTGATTATTTCGTGCATCTAGTGACGAAATTTATTTTAAAAAAATGTCAACATTTTCACTAATTATTTTGACTAAATTATTGTAGCGTAAACTAAATCAAGACAAAGAAATAATTCTAAAAAATTAATAAATTAAAAATTTATTTTTAAATTTATAACATTTAAATAAAAAAGTCTAATTTCTTACTGACTTATTTTCATTTTTTGTGGTTAAAAAATTATTTTAAATCTCTATTTATACAATTAGAAGCTATCTAAACTTACATTTTATGTTATTGGAATGTTTCTATGTGCACAATTCATTTTTTATTTTTATTTATTCAATGCTTTATTTTATATTTAATTGCATATAATATTAAGATTTTAAAAAAACCAATTTTTAAAATATTACTTCAATATAAGGTTTTATCTATTGGGTGATTCAAATTAGTAACTTCTAATTTCATAATTTTTATATAGAGATTAAAATAATTTTTTTATAAGAATTACAAGTGAATTTTAATAATTTTACAAAAATTAAAAGCAAATTTTAACTTTTTACACACTAATATGATAACGAGAGTTCGGATAGTTACATTAGCAATTAATGGAGACTGGGTATTAGAAAAGAATAATTTTAACGATTTTCAGATTAAAATATAATTTTTTTTTATAAAAAGTAAGAGTAAATTTCAATAATTTCACAGAAATTAAAAATATATTTAACTTTAGTTATAAAAATATCATATTAACTTTATATTTAGGTGGGTTATGATAAATATATCTATTTATAATATATCTATTCCTATTTTTTTTTATATAGGCAAAACAAATCTTATTAACAAGAGTTCAAGGGGAACTCAAAATCTATATACACAAAAAATTACTTACTCAGAGAAATAAAAAGCAAAAATATACTTATGCAAAATTAAGACAGATGCAATTTCGTGAGTTCAAATACCAATCAGCTAACATAATAGCTTCTCCCTTACTAACAAGTGATAACCATTTCCAGGATCTCAGAATAATAGAATCTAGGACTTCCCTCTCATCCAAAACACCATTGGAAAATATAATTCTATTTCTATGCAACCACATAGACCACACTGTACTTACTCAAATAATTAATAAGCATATTCCTTCTCTTTTACTACAGCCAACACCAACCCAAGAAAGCAAGTGAGTCGATAAATCTGAAGGCAAAACCAGTGAGAATCCAGGCCAACGCGCAGTAAAGTACCAGATTTAAGATTAAACTGAGCACGTTAAAAATAAATGAGTTGGAAGTTCCTCCAAACCATGACAGAAACAACAAGTTATATCATCAATTTGAACACCACGATCAATTAGTAAACCTTTACAAGGAAGTGCATTCAACAACAATTACCAAGAAAAAATCAGACACTTAAGAGGGACCTTCCCTCTCCATAGCCTTTGCAAGGCATCTGCCGTACACTGATCTATACTATTAGGACCACCAAAAAGTTCAAATAGCCATGAACACGCAGATTGCACTGAATAACAACATGAAGAATCTGCCCTCCATATCCATTTATCTTCTTGTAGTAACTTAATAGAAACTTCATCCACAAGTTCCAACAAAAGATTAAAGCTCGAGATCTCATGTTGAAAGAGTCCTCTTCGCCAACTAACATTTCAAACCCATCTATTGCCATCATGAAAATCATTCTCCAATACACGTGATTCAGCATTTCTCGTCACTGCAAATAATCGCGGAAATGCTTCACATAATCGCACCCCTCCTACCCACTTATCTCTCCAAAAAAGAGTGTGTAAGCCTGCACTCACACTTCTATCAAACTTCTCATCCAGCCATGAATTCCCTTGATGAATATCTATTCCTATTGTAATATTAAACTTTCAAGTGTGCATTATGTAGTTGGTTTTTTTTTTAAACCATATAAACAAAATTTATACATACTTTATTACTTTTTTTCAATTTTTTTTCACTTTTACTTTTTAATTTATGAACTTCTTAACATATTTCTAAGAATACAAAATAACAACCTATAAATAGTAAATTTATATTGAAAATTACATGATATCATTGAAATCAATATATTAATAACATCAAATTACTAAAATTTTTTATAAAAAAATTCTTTCTTCATATATCTTTTAATGCACGTTAAAAAAAAATGTTAAATGTATACATCCTATTTATGAGGATGATTACTTCATCTTTAGATCACATCTCAGCGTAACTATTTATGTTTTACTATGTAGCTCCTACTGCTCTTTCTCTCTCATATCTAATCCTACCAATTTGAAAGAGTTCAAAATAATTTTGTATGTGTCAATGAAGAATCAAATATAAAACTAGATAATTTTCACATTTTTTATTAATTTATTTTTTTAACATTACAAGTATATTTACTCTTAAAGTGATTCAACATATATAAAATTATAAACTTTGTGCCTAAGTTTTAGACAAATTTTATATATTATCACAAATCGTCGAGGTAATTTAAAGATTATTTAAGTTATATTTCTTATAATACGATGCTATGCTTTATATATGCAAGCTCAAAATAAGATGTCTCATGTCTTAAGTTCCATAATTTTTAAAATCATTATAGCAGTAACAAATTAAATACTGAAATTTTTCTTAAACTATTTAGTTAAAAAATGCAAAGCTGATAAAATAAAATCATGCTTGACAAGCGGCTCAATATCAATTACGCAAAGTTTTAGATCTAAGTTTTTGTGTGTATGCAAGTTTAAATTTAATAATTAAACATAAAATGCGGCTATTTTATAAGAATGTTTTAGTCTTACTAAATTTACTGTTACCTAATAGTTATTTTTTAAAAGTATTTTCTTATCTAATTTTTTTTTGTACATTAACCACACATCACCCATACACATGAATCATATATTTGTAGTATACTTAATTTAGGTTTATGGTCTTCTTTATATCTTAAAACGATAATGCTCATTAGTATTCTTCCCTTAACTTTCTATTAATTAATTAAATTATATCCTAAAGTTGGTGAAAATAAAATGATTTTTATCAGTTTATGATTTACACTAAACAAACTTTCCAATAGTTATATTATTTCAAAAATAAATTAAGAAAAAAATAACACCAAGCTTGAAATTATCACTAGTGTTAAATATAAGTCACGACATATAGAATGAAATATCATTTATTCTGAATTCTAGATAACTTTGCTTCAGTCAACAGCGTACAACTGCAGGTAGAGCTTGGAAGGAAGAGGAATGTATAGTTTAGCGACAGTAACAAGTTTACTGTGTTTTAATTGGTTAGGTTAACAACTATCTTCCTTAATCATTAGTTAACGGGGGAACAGAAAGAAATATTTGAACCTCAGAATACAACCAATCAACTAAATACCTCGATGAGTAGTATTTATCAAAAAAATATGTCTAATTAAGAAGGTAATAACTTCCAAAAAATTAAAGAAAACATGAATTTTCATCACAAACTTTATGTGACATGCAAGATATCATGAGATATTATGGATATTTCCTATCTCTTTCCCCCTGGCCAAGCCTTAATTTCGAAGGATCCATCATTCACCTAATAACCAAGAAAGAACCAGGAAGAAGCAATGCTCCTGTTTCAGCCTATATAAGTGTGGGTTGCAAGTCATTCATGAATGCACTTAAGCACTGAAGTTGTAAGACAAGTTAATACAAGAGTAAGGAGTTAGGGTGGTGAAGACTGATTGAAATGGATTCTTGGGTTAGAATGTTATTTATCATTGCTTGCATTGTTCCAGCTTTGGTCGAGTGCAAAGTGAGGCACTATAAATTCCATGTAAGTAAACCATTTTTTCTGGCTTCGTGGGCATATGCATTGTTTCAATCTTTTTAGAGTCACGAGCTTAAACAATAATGCAATTTGTGCACTTTTCAGCCATTCAATCACAATATAGTTGTACTTACTGTAAAGTTCATATTAAGGTATATTTAACTTGGAATAGTGATGATGTGAAAGCTGTTAGATCTACTCAGGGCATTGGCATTTTGTGTAAAGTAGGTAATGAGTTCATATATAAGCTATATATTGGTCCATTGTTAAGCCACATGGCCAAAAAAGAGATACAAATTAGCGTATCATAATCACCGAGAAAAGGTTTACGAATTCAGCCCCCAAACACAATATTACTCTAGCTCTCTCTTATTCCTTTTATAAGACACATTCAATAAAAAATTTTGTTAACTTTAATCTTTAAAATTGAGTTTAAATATACAAAAACTTATAAGTAGTCTAAGATCCGAAAGAAGACATAGTAATAAAGGATAAATGAGAGACTTAAACAATTAATTATAACAAAATAGTTTAATATCTTGATCTGTACAATTTTTTTTGGATAAATTAGAAGCATCATAATTAGTATTATAATATGACAATTTTTATTCTCATTTAAAATTATTAAACCTAATTTTTCAAAATTTAAAATTAATTTAGATTTTACTAACTCCATTTATCAAAGACAATTGAAAATAAATAAATACTTCTTAAAAACTATAAAATACTTTTAATTAAAATGTTAACTAAAAGATACCCTATTAAAAAGATAATTAAGAGGAAGTATATTACATATACAACATTATAACAACATAAATTCTTATTTTCTATTTCTAGGTGTCCGGAAGCATCATGAGCAATCTTAATTAATTGTCTCGAAGCTACAATTTCGCCAAAATTCAGTCATGAGTGAATTTTGTTACATTCAAAGCAGAATATAATATATTTATATTCTAAAATTATTGTTACAACATGGATGGTTGACCTATTAAACACTTCTTCCAACAACTTGCACACATCACACTACCAAGGAAAATAATCCAAAGGGCTTAGGTCATGCTTAATTTTGGTAATGGGTGCAGGTGGTGCTGAAGAATACGACTAGGTTATGTTCAACCAAACCCATTGTCACCGTTAATGGTAAGTTCCCAGGACCCACTCTTTACGCAAGGGAAGATGATACAGTGCTGGTCAAAGTCAGAAACCGTATAAATCACAACGTCACCATCCACTGGTGAGCCTTCATTTTTTATTTGCTTCAAGTTGCATGCAGAAAGTACTGTGTGGAGAAAAAGAAAACACAAGAATTAACCCATTTATAAAGAGATGTTTTTCAAAAACGCGAAAGCTGACATCTTTATTGTCTTTTTTTTGTAGTTTTTAGTGTATTTTTGGATTACATACATGTAAGAAAGATAAATAGTAAATAAGAGATAAAAATAATTATATATGATATTGCATATATAATGTCAATTTTTAGTGATTTAAATATCAGAACTATATTATAAATATATAAAATGATATATCTAAGCTAAATAATCTTGAATTAATGCTCATTGGAAGACTATAACGTTATAACCATCTTGACAGGCATGGTGTGAGGCAACTGAGAACTGGTTGGGCTGATGGGCCAGCATACATCACTCAGTGTCCAATCCTGCCAGGAAATTCTTATGTGTACAACTTCACCATTACAGGGCAAAGAGGAACACTTCTTTGGCATGCTCATATTAACTGGCTAAGGTCAACTCTCCATGGTGCCATAGTTATCTTGCCAAAGCGTGGTATTCCATACCCTTTCCCAAAACCAGATAAAGAATCGGTTGTGATATTAGGTGAGTTCACATAATCAATACCCTTTACTCCTTCATATTTTCCTATTCATGATTTTGACTTGATTAGTCCTCAACATAGCAAGGTTTATAATTAAAATTCATTATGATGATATCTACAGGAGAATGGTGGAAATCTGATACTGAAGATGTTATCAATGAAGCTCTCAATTCAGGAGTGGCACCAAATGTCTCAGATGCTCACACCATTAATGGTCTTCCAGGGACAGTGTCCGTGGCTAATTGTTCTACACAAGGTAATGTATGCTGCTTTTCACTTCTTTGCTTTTTTTTCATGTATTATGGATTTCATTAAGTGCTAACTACAGGTATGCTTAATTGATTTCCTTTCTTGGTTGAATATAAGTAGATGTGTACAAGCTTCCTGTGGAAAGTGGCAAAACCTATCTGTTGAGAATTATCAATGCTGCACTCAATGAGGAACTCTTCTTCAAAATTGCTGGCCATACCTTCACTGTAGTTGAAGTTGATGCCACATATGTAAAACCATTCAAGACTGACACAATTCTAATAGCCCCTGGCCAAACAACCAATGCCCTTTTAACTGCTAACCAAAAGCCTGGTAAATACATAATAGTAGCATCTACTTTCATGGATACTCCAGTGGTAGCTGTGGACAACATCACTGCTACAGCCACATTGTCCTACAATGACACTCTTGCCACCACCCCAACAATTCTCACTATCCCTCCTCCAAGAAATGCCACCCAAGTTGCTAATAACTTCACTATGTCCCTTAGGAGCCTTAATTCTCAAAAGTACCCAGCAAATGTCCCATTAACAATTGATCATTCACTTTTTTTCACTGTTGGGTTGGGAATTAACCCTTGTCCATCTTGCAAAGCTGGAAATGGAAGCAGAGTGGTGGCTGCTATCAACAATGTGTCATTTGTTATGCCAACTACTGCATTGCTTCAGGCACATTACTTTAACATCAAAGGGGTGTTCAGCACTGATTTCCCTGCTAACCCTTCTCAAGTTTACAACTACACAGGGACTCCACCAATAGCAAGTTCACAGACCACAAATGGCACCAAGGCTTATAGGGTAGCATTCAACTCCACGGTTCAGATTGTTTTGCAGGATACTGGGGTCATTGCTCCTGAGAGCCACCCAGTTCATCTTCATGGCTTCAATTTCTTTGTTGTTGGCACAGGAGTAGGAAATTATGATCCCAATAAGGATCCAAATAACTTTAATCTTGTGGATCCTTTTGAGAGGAACACCATTGGAGTGCCAACTGGAGGGTGGACTGCTTTCAGATTTAGAGTAGATAATCCAGGTAAATTTATTAATTCTCATTCATACTCAAGATTTTAAATTCATGGACAGATTCAGAAACATGTCTGCCAAAATTAATAGGAATTAAATTTTGTTATACGCACTTGTATTAGTATAAGATTACAATTTTGTTAAGATAAAATATATTTTAAATCTTTATAAATTAGTTGAATTTACTTTATTTTTTTAAATTTTTTATTATTTTTAATTTTTATAAATTTAATTTTTAATAATAATCTTTATAATAATTTATGTGAACGTAACATGCATTTAAATATGTCATGTTATATATTTCTAAATGCATTTTATGTTATTTTTAAGCGACAGTATAAATTAATTTTAAAATTTATGAAGAGTAAAACTAATAAAAGAATTGAAGAATTAAAAAAATTATTATATTCATAAAAATTAAAAATATATTTAAGTCATTTTATATAAAAAAAAATTAAAAATAGTCAAGGAGAAAGAGATAGGAGCCATGCTTCAAAGCTCAGAACCACACTTGCCTTGGTCTATGTTCTATAGGTCATATTTCAAATATTAATATTTCTTCATATTAATATTTTCTAATTCCATATATTTGACAGGAGTGTGGTTCTTGCACTGCCATTTCGAGGTGCACACAACATGGGGACTAAAGATGGCCTTTTTGGTGGACAATGGTAAAGGTCCTGAAGAATCATTGGTACCCCCACCAAAAGATCTTCCAAAATGTTGACACTTTCAGCCATCAATTAAATTATGAACAAACAAGGGAAGGCCTTCCAATTTAAAAAGAAGCTTTGGAAGGATACAGAGAAGCCAGGCAGAAGAAGAGAATGAAAACGAGGATGGTTTTTAAATAAGAGGGTTGTTCCCATTGCTGTTTTTGGAGCAAATGAGAGGATTCTTCATTCACGTTCTGTAAATTAGAGCCATGCATTTCGGTTTTCTTTGCAGATACACTTTTTAATTTGGGTATTTTTTATTTTTATTTTTTTAAGCTATACTGATCATATATGTATAGGAATCAATAAGGGCATGCTTTGGTTATTTATTGAAATCAAAGTTTTATGTAATTTACCGCATTGTATGGTTGACATGTCAGAATTATTTACCTTAAGGAGAATGTTAATATGTCAAAACTCAAAAGAATGCCTCGTTGGTTGCTGAATGAGGTACGGATTTTGTCACCGATATAAAATGATAAGGATATGGACACTCCGACAATGCATGCATTCATAAACAAAAGAAAAACTCAAATAAAATCAAATGTGAACAAAATAACAAAAGATGTAAATTGATAAAATTTGTGTTTATATGTTATTGTGTATTCAACTTTCCCTTGTACCTCATGGAAAAAGTGAGACACTATTTTTTTAATGTTTTATGTTTTAAACTAACTTTTTTCAAAAATTAAAAGTCATTTATTTCAAACAATACTATTGTTTCCTTTTATATAAAAGTTTTAACTAATAATTTTTTTTTTAAACATCAAAGAAGTAGTATTGGATCTGTGTCTCTAAGGCGTTAATGTTAAAAAAAGCATGTCTTACAATATCATACTTCAATCAAGAGATTAGAAGGGCAAACTTCATAGATGGCAAAGAAGATCCAGATGTTCACGCAGAACTACATTATTTTTAGTTAATGTGACATTAAGATGGCTTAATCACTTTTACTCTCTCTTTTTTCCAAAATTTAACGTTTATTATAAGAAATTTAAATTCAATGATTGGATTTATAGAATTTGTTTTTGATAAAAAAAAATTAAATTGGTATTATTTAAATTTAATACTTAATATAAACAAATTCTATTCATTATATATATATATATATATATATATATATATAAAATTTAAAAGAAGAGAAGTGATTCCTTGTGAGTTGTCTTAATCTCAAGAGGAACGGGTTTGGATTTGACCATTTCATCCCTTCTTTTTCAAATTTGGTTTATACATTTTTATAATGTGATTTTTTTACACTTATCATCCTTATTTTCTGTACCTTTTATAAATAAACTTTTGATAGATATTATCACTTCTAGAAATTATATTTAAAAGGTCATTTTCAAAAAGTGCTACGAAAAGAAAATATTCGTGAACTATTCTCATCCTCGACAAAGGCGGAGGGCAAATGACAACTGCACCTTTATTGAACAAATTTGTATTATCAGGTAATTTGCATTAAGTAACTTTGGCCAAGTTACTGTATTTGATTATCCACTTATCAGTTATGCGCCGTACTTAGATGTGTTCAAAACGTGAATAAATACCATGGTTAAATGTTCTTGATGGCACCATGTACCTTATGTAACAGTCTTGGTTCCTAAACCTTATAATATCATAGTAAAGGCCCTTTGCTGCTTATGATGAAGCTATAGTCTGAATTGCTTTAGCATTCAAATATTAATTTTGATAAAACAGGGACATAAAGGAATGAACCTGTCACCTTAACCACTAAATAATGGCACAAAATACAGTGCAAGCCACCATATTGTATGTTCCATTGTACATTTAATAAAAAAAATGAGTGCAGTACATTCAATCAGCCACACTTTTGATCTCATATACAAGTATTCTGAGGCAAAAGCTAGCAAGCAAGGAACCAGCCTAAGCTTGGAAGGTGAATTTGCATCACCTATAGTTGACTTGAGGTGAAGGGAAAAAACGTTTGGCCACCCATTGGAAGGGTCTCAATAGCTGAGCTCTTTTCTTGCGCCAGAACCAAATGGCAGCATTGTATTGCTCATTGCGAATCTTTCGTGTGGCCGCCTTCCAATCATACTGTTCCATCTCTTGTCGTGCAGCTTTTCCCATGGTTTCTCTCAACTCTTTGTTGAGCAAAAGGGGCCTCAATTTATTCAAGCAGTCTTCAAGATCACCAGGATTATAGAGACAGCTAGTTTTACCCTCTTGATCTGCTGGTATTATGTCTGGAATGCCTCCTGCACGTGCTGCTACCACAGGTATCCCTGAAGACATGGCCTCCAAAACAACAAGGCCAAGAGTCTCTGACTCTGAAGGCATGACAAATACATCTCCACTGGCATATGCTTGGGACAGTTCTTCCCCTCCTAACATTCCAGTAAATACTGCACACATACCTTCAAACATATTTTCCAGTTCCTCCCTGGTATCCAGCATCTCATATTACTAAAAGTTGCCAAAGTTTTTATATCTAACATTGCTTTATCTAGAGAGGGAGGGGAATAATATATAAATGAAAAAGTATGACATGTGGACTAGAAACTCCAGCAGGCTTTTCTTGGAGAATGGCTGGATTATATTTTCAGCATTTAGATACTTATAGACATAGATAATGGTACAAACTCCTCCCCCCCCCCCCCCCCCCCCACACACACACACACACACACACACAAAACCCTCAGATGAATGGGAACAAGAAAGAAACGAGAAATTCCCTTTCATGGTGACAGTTAGCCATAATGAATAGAAAGGAAAAAGTAAAGAACATGAAAACATTCACTCACTGAAATTCATAGTTAAAAGCCACAGGATATCACTTGAAGAGAAACAAAAACAGAGATATGTCAGAGCTCAGAATTAGTCACCTGTATGGCCCATCACCAATGAAAGCAATTCGAGCCTCAGGAAGCCTATCCATGAGCCTGCCAAAAGCAAATAGTGCTATCTCAGATTCAGTACATCAATAACTAACAAGCAGTTTTTGCTGCTCTTCCAGTTTATATTCTGGATTTTAAGATTGACTAGAAAATCTTGAAAACAATTACTGCTCCAAGCTATGCAAATTTCATGATGATGTTCAGTACCTTTTTAGAAAATCTAAACTCTTCTCAACTCCAAGCCGTCCAACATGAACTACCAAGGGTTTCTCAGGTTCACCATTGCTGTATGACAGATGTGTAAGGATAAAATGAAATCCCATTGTTATCAAAACTTGGACGTATGAGAAAAATAGAGAAAAATCCAAACCTTAGCCTTAATCGCATTTCATGCGAGCGGTATTTGGGATGGAACTTTTCAGAATCAACACCCTTATTCCACAGACGAATCTTATTAGCTGGATATTAACAAGAGAAACAACTAAGTCAAGATTTTGCTTCATTGACAAAGGTATACTATGAAACATGTATTTTCAGATACTGTTACCAATTACACATAGCTGAAAGTGTGAAAGACCACAAGGGAATTTTTTGTTCACCTGCTGTGACTCTAGCTGCTTGGAGATCTCTCGCAATGGCAGCAGATGGCACCAGAGTCAGATCAGCTGCTCTGTGAAGAAATTCTATATAAACCAGAAAATTTATGTTATGTTGACAAATATTTGAGTCCAAATAGGAAAGAGTGAGCAATAAAGTGGACATACTTATGATCAACCACATCGGTTTCACCAGCCAGCTAAAGGTATATCTTGGAATGTACCTAGAGACAAAACAAGATCAGCAATACATGATTTAATGTGGATCAGTTCTGTCAACATGGCATCATATCAGAATAATTATTAGCAGAAGTGGCATGCAATATAAAATGGTAAAAATATTCAGGAAATCTGTAATCTCAATAAAACTTACACTGGTACATGGGTATGATAAGACATGACAATAGGAACACACAAAAGTTTTGCTATGATAAGTGCTCCAAAAACCTGAAATTAAGCCAGCATTAGTAATGTGGCAAATAAGTCTTTACACCTACACTATTCATAATAACCCCAAAATTTAACAAATAAATGGATAGAGGAATTGCAGACCAACCATTACACCTGGCGATGATGCATGTATTATGTCAGGCTTAAACCGGGCTACCTCTGAAACTATTCTTGGACTCAGTGCCAAGGAGAGGGGTACTTTCTGATACCATGGGCAGGGAAAGCTGCATTTCTCATTTGTTTTTGGGATAAACAAAAATTGTTAGTATAAAGAACACAGTCTTAGAAACTATGTAGATAGTGTAGAAAGGCTAACAAAATATTGGAATCGCAGAAATTAGAATACTACTGAATCTTGTAATTATTACATTATCATGGAGCGTCCCCTATATAATTTGAATTTTAAACACAAATTTCATTATATGCTTCTTTTCATCCTCCTTTCCATGAGGTGTCTAAAACCTAAAGAGAAGCGATCCTAAATCTTAATCCATGTGTGCTTGATAGACCATTGTGCATTGAGGAAAACTTTTCTAGCAAACTGTGTTTCAACTCTGGTTTCCAGTCTTTGATAGTGACTTTGAAAAGGAAATAAAGGGTGGAAAGAGAACCGGACAGAGAAGTCAAAGATCCAGGGCACATTGTATTTCAAATGAAGGCCCAGAAAAAAGCTCAACTCATGAGTTTAACGGGGAAAAGAAATAGAAATTAGTAGGAAAATATGTAAAAACGAGTTGACCGAATCTTGTAATTACGGTAACACTTCATGATTCTTGTAATCATTACATTAACTCAATACAATAAGCCTCCACTATGTAACTCCAATGCCTTCATAAAGGTAATCATACCTTTAAACAGCATTTAAAACTAAATAGAAAATACTTAATGGAACATGTTGATAATGGAACATGTCAAAATATCATCACATTCTAAATCAATATCAAAATGTCAAAAATCGTAAAATGATGATAATAGGAATGCCATAAGTATTCACGAGTGAATTCAAAAGTGCATAACATATACCAGCAGACTATGATGTAAGGTAATGACCGTTGACAAATATATGCAATTTAGAAACATGAACCAACTCAACCAAGCTTGTAGTGATAGATAGACATTAAGTTAATTATTCAAAAACAACAAATTTAGAACCCCAAGTAGAGCAAAGGGTTAAAGAAGCAAAAATGAACTAAGCAACTGAACAGTGTTACCAACCTCCATGATCCAATTAGTTTAGCTCCATAAAATTCCTGGGGCACTCCTTCATGCGTTGTCACAACCATCACCTGTAACAGACAAATAAACACAACTAGTTAGAATGCAATGTAAAATAAAATTACCGGATAAATGTTCAAATATTATATTTATATCATGCATAAGCTAGATTGCAAGTTTTCTCTAAATATTTGAAGATAATGTACAAAAACACCAAATATAAAGGAAATAAGCATGTGCAGACAAAGAAATTAAAGAAGTAGAAAAAGCTACCTCATCTCCCATTTCACGAAGACATCT